AGGAGCTGAACAATTATTGAGATGGAAAAAACAGTCTCAGAGTAGGAGATTAGTAAGATTTGTTGCCTATTAGTAACAAGCTAGAGAAGTGAGAAACAAAGGAAAGAAACCAAAAGCACCTTCCTCCCATCTGCCCTCTTCCACCTCTTCCCCCCGAGTGGCGTAGGAGAATGCGGGAATGGTGGCTGCGGTCAGTCTGTAGCACTTGGTCTCTGCCGCTGCTTCTCGGTCACTCTTGTCCCCTGCTCCAACGTGGGGTCCCTCCCACAGGTGCCGTCCTTCCCAAACTGATCCGGCGTGGGCTTCCCACCCGCAGCAGCTCCTCGAGAACTGCTCCAGTATGGCTCCGTCCCACAGGCTCCATCCCTCAGGAGCACACTGCTCCAGCCTGGGTCCCCCCCGGGCAGCAGCTCCCCCTCCATCCCCTGCTCTTGCATGGGCTCCTCTCCACGGGCTACAGGGCTGGCCCAGAATCTGCTCCGGCAGGGGTCTTGCACAGGCCACAGCCTCTGTCACTGCAGGGCCACCTGCTCCAGCGGGGGCTCCTCCACGGGCTGCAGCGTGGAGCCCTGCTCCACTGTGGTACTCCATGGGCTGCAGGGGGACAGCCTGCTGCACCAGGGGCCTCTCCACAGGCTGCAGGGGACTTGGGCTGCGTGCCTGGAGCACCTCTCCCCCTCTCTCCTTCTTCACTGATCTTGGCGCCTGCAAGGCTGTTTCTCACTCCTTTCCCTCTCCCAGCTGCTGTGTAGACATGTTTGTTTTGGTTGCTTGGTTGGTTTTTGTTTTTTTCCCCTGTCTTTAATACGCTCTCCCAGAGTCGTTGCTTGTTGGCTTGGCTCTGGCCAGCAGCGGGGCCCTCATCTAACATGGGGCAGCTTCTAGAGCCTTCTCACAGAAGCCACCCCTACGGCCCCCTGCTACCCAAACCTTGCCACAGAAACCCACTAGAGATGCGAGGCTGGGACACGAAGTAGCAACAATGTCACGTCCAGGCCCAGTCCTGCCCAGCCTCTTCAGGAATGATGCGCAGGGCGGAGCAGGCCGTGCCCTCAGCAAGTCTGCTGCTGATCCAAGCTGGGAGGAGATAGGGATGCACCAGAGGGTGGTGCTGCCCTCCAGAGGGCCCTGGGCAGGCCGGAGAAATGGCCTGGCAGGATCCTCCTGGAGTTGGCGCCAGGGAAGCTTGAAGCTGAGGCCCTGGGGAGGAAAGCTGGAGAGCCCGAGGCTTGTTGGAGTTGCCCCAGCTGGAGGCCTGGGTCCAGTTCTGGGCTCCCCAGGACAGGAGAGCCATGGGCCTACTGGAGGGAGCGCAGTGAATGGCAGCCAAGCTGGTGGCAGGACTGGAGCATCTGTCCTCTGGGGAGAGCTGGAGAGAGCCGTGAGTGCTCGTTGTGGAGAAGGCCTGTGGGGATCTGGCTGAAGGACCTCAATATGTGAAGAGAAGGTGCAAAGGAGATGGAGCCAGGCTCTTCTCAGTGGTGCCCAGTGTCCACGTGGCTGCAGGTGGCCCTGCTTGAGCATGGGGGTTGGAGCAGGTGACCTGCAGAGGTGCCTTCCAAGCCCGAGCCCACTGTGTGTCCGGTGGTTTTGCAGGGACCTGAACCAAAGCGCGGCCATTCAGCCAGGCCCGAGCAGCGGGGCAGCTGTGAAGGAGGCTGCCAGGAGGCTGCCGTTCTGGATTTGCAAGGTCTTCTTGCATCAGCTGGGGAAGAAGGGCAAGGACTTTGACTTCTCCCAGCTGCCAGTGAGGGTGGAGTTTGTGGAATGCAGCACCCGTGGCAGCAAGGGAGAGGAGGGAGATGCTGACTTCGAGGGCCTTGAGAAGTGGCTGGCCATGATCGCTTGAACGGAGAAGGGCAGGGCAGGAGGGAGAGATGTGGGGAGGCTGGGTGGGTGGGACACGTGGAGAGTGAAAGGAAAGAGATGGTTTGAGGCGCTTAAATCTCATCTTGTAGAAGATACTTGTGGAAATTTCTTCTAGAAAAAGCTGGAAACAAGCATTGCGGTGTCTTCCTCTGCTGCTTATGGCCTTGGGAGTAATGTAATATCTGGTGTGATTTCTCTGACTGTGTCCATCACGCTGCAACCTTTTTTTGCTCTTCCTTCTTCCTTCATCTTTCTCTGGGATGCTTACCCTACGGGCCTCTGTGTTTCCTTGAAATGTTTGGTCTTTTCATGTGACAGCTGCCAGGCAAATTAGGGACAAGAGCACTGCCAGGTGAGTCTTCTAGGGACTGGAATCTTTGTCCTTTTCTGCTTTGGTTTAGCGTTGCATCCCTGTTACTTCTGCTTACTTACCTGCTGCCCTGGCAAAGTGCACAGACTCTTTCTGTTGTGCAGTTGCTGAGGCGAGTAAAAAAAGCTGTTTTCCTCTATCTCCTACCTCCCCATTCTTCCAGACTGGTGCAGTCCAGTTTCTGTGGGACTGGAGCGACTTAATAAATCCCCAAAGCAGGCTGGCTCATCTACCTCTGTCACTGTGCACTGCCGGTGTCTGGCTGCGGTGCCTTTGTCCTTGGGTGATTTCTTCTGTTGGATGGTTCTTGGGAGTTTTTCTTTTAAATGGGGGCTACGACCTGAAAGCTTGTTTCCCTCTCCTCTGACGGACATGAATGCACGCTTTCCATATGACAGTTCCAGAAGGGTCTTAGCTTCAAGCAATGAGGAAGAGGCATTTTTAGATAGATGCCTGTGTTGCTGGTGAGATTTGTCATGCCAGATTGTTTGTTGTGCAATCCCCTGCCTGTCTCCTCCCTAGTGACTGCAATAAAGAGACCTTTTTGTGTTTGTAATCAGCAGTTGCAGCAAAGTGAGAGAGAATATTGGGCAGGTAGGACACTCGTGTGCGAGCGTGCTTCCTCCCTGCAAAAAGATTGTTGGTGCAGAAGGAAATGTGATTTTTTTCCAGTGCTTGTTTGTGGTGGTTGAAGCCAAAGGTGCTGCTGTATGCGTGCTCTCACTCAGAGAGTGCTTGTTGCTCTGGCTCTTGCAGCGGCTCGGCTGGCTATTTGGAGGCTGGAAGTGATGGTGGTGGTATCTTAACTGAGCATGCGTTAGACCTCAGCTTTCCAAAGGACGCTTGCTCTTGCCAGGAGTGTTGGTTATCCAAAGGGAAATGTTGCAGCAGCATTAGTGCTGGCCATGTGGGAGATGAGACCCTGGTGTCATGCTGGCTATTCGGCTTCCCTTTCCTGAACAACAAACAGCCTTAAAACACCAGGCGGTCACCTTGCCCAGCAGCTTTGTGCTTTGTTGGGGTGCTAGCTCAACATGGCTTTTCTGTGAGGATGATTGCTTTCCAGGATGCCGTTCTGGATTTGCAAGGTCTTCTTGCATTGAAGCTTTTCCTCCATTTTTCTTGCTTCCTCTTTCGTTTGAGGAAAGGAGGGACTGAATGGTTCCTGACAGACCTTTTCTGTCCTCTGCAGACGTCTCTGGTTTGATGCTTCCTTAATGGCTCCACTGATGTGTCGTGTTCTTGTCCCTTCCTTCTTTCTGGGCATCCTCTGCCTCCCTGTAGCATTCTCAAGGGTTAGTAGTGGTGGGAAGAGCAAGAAGAGCCTTTTCTGCAAAGACCTGTGCTTGCGATGGGGCTGGGCCTGGCACTTGTAGTCTTGTGAACCTGGTGTGTCTTCGTGGGCACCTGGCCCTTTCCTCTGCAGCTGGGAGTGCTTGGGGGTGGTCCTGAGCAAGGAAGGGGCTGTGGCCTCCTGTGTAGGGGAAGCTCCAGGCTGGCTGGTGACTGCAAGGGAGAGCTGAGGCAAGGCTGGCCTCCAGAGCAAGCCAGGAGGTGTTGTGTCAGTATGGGAGGCGGGGAGGCTTATATTGATGAAGTACCTTCTATCTATCCTTCTATTTGCAGCCAGACCATTGCTGCAACTTGTTTGGCTTGAACTCTCTTTGCTGGAGCCCCTTCACAGGACACCGTATTTCAATCCATAATGCTGAAAGGAGAATATTGCTGTCTTTGGGTGGTAACTCTGCTTAGAGCCTTCTTCCAAAGCGGAGGCTGAGCATCGGCTTCTGGTAGGATGTCCTGGTTTCAGTTAGCACAGAATTAATTTTCTTCCTAGTAGCTGGTGGAATGCTGTGTTTTGGCTTAGGATGAGAAGAGTGCTGATAACACCCCGATGCTTTAATTGTTGCAGAGCAGTGCTTATACTAAGCCAAGGACATTTCAGCCTTTTGCTCTGTCCTGCCAACGGGCAGGCTGGGGGTGCAGTAAGAGCTGGGAGGGGACAGACCCAGGACAGGTGACCCAAACTAGCCAAAGGGGTATTCCATACCATCTGACGTCATGCTAAACAATATATAGGGGTGGCTAACCGGGGGAAGGGGTCCGGACTGCTCGGGGTTAGGCTGGGCATCGGTCAGCGAGTGGTGAGCAATTGCATTGTGCATCACTTGTTTGTACATATTATTATTATTTCCCTATTATCACCATATTATTATTATTGTTATTATTGTTATTATTATTTTGTTATTATTATTTTCCTGTCTTATTAAACTGTCTTTATCTCAACTCACGGGCTTCACTTTCCATTTCTCTCCCCCGTCCCAGAGAGGGAGGGGGGAGGGTGAGCGAACGGCTGCGTGGTGTTTACCTGCCGGCCGGGTTAAACCACGACATAGGAGAAGGTAGTTCGAGGCCACAACCACTTTTAAGTTATTCTTTAATAAATATATTCCTTTAATGATCGTAAAACCAAAAAAGTGTTGGGCTAAACGTTTGTGCTCCAGTCCTGATTTGGTTGGTCTGTCTCTGCCTTGACTCTTCTCCGAGTTGTTCAAGTGCCCACGTGCTGAGGCTCTGCTTCTGCTCAGCACAGCACTGGGGGTCAGCTTCCTGCTTGGCGGTCAGGTCTGCTTTGTTAAATAGCAGTGCCTCCTTTCTTCTTTTTTCTTTTTTGAGGGGTGGGTGTTTTGCGTGTATTTATGTCTTAGTCTGAGTGTCCAAGAAGCGATAATCATATAGACAAAAAACCAAAACCACTTTATTTGTCCAGGCAAATGCACAAAGCGAGCCACAGCACACTGTGCTCCCCCTGGAGCATCTGTCCCCAGGCCGGGATCAGGGCTGTGGCCGGCTGTAGGGGCTGTGGCGCTGGGGCAGCACCCTGCCACGGCCGGCTCTCCTCTCCGGTGGTGAGGGTGAGGAGCTGGGAGCTGCAAGGGGAGGCAGGAAGGTCAGCGGATCTGCCCACCCTGCCTGGCCTGCAGAGGGCACGGAGGGCTCTGCCGCCCCGAGCCTGAGCACGCCGTGCCCCTTACCAGTGCCAGTGCCCGGGCCAGCGCAGCCAGCGCACTCCCACTGCTGCGTGGTGTCCCCAAGGCCGGAGCATCGGCGGTGGGTCCCGCTGGCGGCACAGGAGGAGCAGAGCAGCAGCTGCCAGGGCCTGGGGAAGAAGTTGTGCTGGTGAGCACGCAGAGCCCAGCAGGCAGTGGCGCCACAAAGGCCCCCAAGGCTCCAGAACCATTGCTCACGGCGCCCCAGCAGAGGGGAAGGTGCCTGGGCAGAGCCCCAGCAGCCACTGCACGGCTTGCTGGAGATGTGGCTCACAGCCCCCAGCAGCCGGGGAGCTGCTGCTGTGGATGCTCACCCTTCCTCTTGCCACTGCTCGCGGCCTCCCCTGTACAGGCACTGCCTGGCATCGCAGCGGCCATACAGCTGCGGCAGTGCCGGCTCCTCCTCCTCGTCTTGCTCCCAAGCCGGCTTTCTTCAAGAGAAAGTAGGAAAGAAAGGTCACGAGCTCCTGGGGCACTCACTCAGCAAGTGTCAGTGCTGATGCTGGGACAGGGCTCAGGGGCATCCCTGGCGGCAGGCCAGCATCCTCCTGTCCCCCAGGCAGGCAGCCCATTTTGTTGGGGACAGTCTGCCTGGAGGGATTAGGGCCTGGGGCTGTGCCCTCTCCTGCCTTGAGTGGGGTGGGAAGGAAGGAAGGAAGGAAGGAAGGAAGGAAGGAAGGAAGGAAGGAAGGAACGCACTTGTTGGGCACGCGGATTCCCATCTGCAGCATCTCAGGGAGAAAGCGCTCCCGGTCCCGGCAGTGAGGACACGCAAAGTGCCTGAGGCCCGCCCGAAGCGCCTGTCCCTGTGGAAGAGAGACTCCCCGTGTGAGCAGGACGCCGCTGCGGGCGCATGGTGTCCCTGCGGGCTGGCAGAGGGAAGGGCCTCCTACCTGGATGCAGCCGCGGTGGAACCAGGCGTGCTTGCAGGAGGGGCACACCATGGTGGTGTAGGAGAGGCTGTCCTCCACCACCTCCATGCAGATGATGCACGTGGTGTGCCCCTCCTGCAGCGTCTCCACGCTCTGCTGCGGGCGGTGCTCCCAGCAGAAGGAGCTGCGTGAGGACGGAAGAGTTGAGTGAGGCCAGGGACCACGCGTGCCACACCGGGGACTCTGCCTGCAGGGCGCAGGCTGAGGGGGCTGCAGCCCAAGCTAGGGCAGCTCGTACCTGTAGTCCCCAAAGAACTGCGAGATGCAGCCCCGCTGGGAGCTGCAGGGCAGGTGGAAGCGGCGCGAGCAGCGCTTCTGCCAGCAGGCGACGGTGGCCCCCTTCTTGCGGCAGACGCAGCAGCGCTGCAAAGAGCACAGCAGCCCCGTCAGGGACGTGGCCGGGGCCACTGGCACTTGCCCGGAGCTTGTCCAGAGCCTCGAGGATTTCTTTGCCAGGGCTTGGGCTCAGCTGCCACAAGCCTCGTCTGCTCCAAAAAAGCCCTCACCTTGCGAGCTGCCCGACCCGCTACCCGCCTGATATCCGCGCAGAGGAATCCGAAGATTCCTTCCCCTTCAGCGCCTCGCTGGTACAGGCCCTGGGCTGGAAACTGGAAGAGAGCAAAGCCCCGCAGCTGCTCAGGGCAAGGAGATAGGGACCGTGGTGGGGAGGCTGTGCTGGCAGCGCAGCAGGAGGAGGTGACAGCCAGCGAGCAGCGCGCTGGGGATGACACAGTCCTGTGGGCTCCAGGTGCCAGGCAAGGGCTTGGGGAAAGGCGCGGGCAGCCGCGGGGAGCTCACCAGGCAGTGCACGTGGGCGCAGACCCCGTCCACCTGCAACATCGGCCCGCAGCCATCCAAGCTGGTGTCCGAGCGGTGGCACAGCACGCACTCTGGGGGAGGCAGGGCGGCAGCCATGGATGAGAGCATCCCCCCACTGAGCACCTGGCAGGTGTCCCCGAGGGACGCCCGCAAGGGCCTGCTCGGGGGCTCCTGGCAGGGCGTCCCCGGGTGTCCACAGCCCAAGCGGCTCTGCACAGCCCCAGGGGGTGCTCAGGGCCCTCCACCTCCAGGGAGCTGCTGGGGCATCTGCTCTCACCGTCCTCCTGTGCCTCAGGGGCCTTCTCCTCCTCTCCGGCAGCCATGCTGCGCAGCAACTCCTCGCCTCGCCTGGCCTCGCCTCGCTGCCAGGAGCTGCTGCCTCCACGCCTGGCGCTCACCAGAGACGCAAAGTCCCCCCCAGACTCGCCTGTGTCACTGGTGTCATTGTGCTCCCTCCGTGTCACTAGGAGACCATGGAGTGGTGGATGATGCGGCAGGGCCCAGGAGCTCCCCCAGCCTCACAGACACCCCCTGGGCTTCCAAGCCCACGGTGCAGCCTCTTCATCCCCGTGAATGGCCGTGGTGGCTTGGCCTAGGCTGGCGGCCAGGTGCCCACCCAGCTGCTGTCTCGTTCCCTCCTCAGCTGGGGAAGGGAGAGAAAATTCGAGGGAGAAACCCTCGTGGCTTGTGAGGAGGGCACAGGGAGATGGCTCATGGGCTGCAGGAGAAGCAGAGAAGTGAGAAACAAAGAAACAAAAGGAAACAACAACAACAACAACAACACCTTTCCCCCACCCGTCCTCTTCCCCCTCTTCCCCCCGAGTGGCGTAGGAGAATGCGGGAATGGTGGCTGCGGTCAGTCTGTAGCACTTGGTCTCTGCCGCTGCTTCTCGGTCACTCTTGTCCCCTGCTCCAACGTGGGGTCCCTCCCACAGGTGCCGTCCTTCCCAAACTGATCCGGCGTGGGCTTCCCACCCGCAGCAGCTCCTCGAGAACTGCTCCAGTATGGCTCCGTCCCACAGGCTCCATCCCTCAGGAGCACACTGCTCCAGCCTGGGTCCCCCCCGGGCAGCAGCTCCCCCTCCATCCCCTGCTCTTGCATGGGCTCCTCTCCACGGGCTACAGGGCTGGCCCAGAATCTGCTCCGGCAGGGGTCTTGCACAGGCCACAGCCTCTGTCACTGCAGGGCCACCTGCTCCAGCGGGGGCTCCTCCACGGGCTGCAGCGTGGAGCCCTGCTCCACTGTGGTACTCCATGGGCTGCAGGGGGACAGCCTGCTGCACCAGGGGCCTCTCCACAGGCTGCAGGGGACTTGGGCTGCGTGCCTGGAGCACCTCTCCCCCTCTCTCCTTCTTCACTGATCTTGGCGCCTGCAAGGCTGTTTCTCACTCCTTTCCCTCTCCCAGCTGCTGTGTAGACATGTTTGTTTTGGTTGCTTGGTTGGTTTTTGTTTTTTTCCCCTGTCTTTAATACGCTCTCCCAGAGTCGTTGCTTGTTGGCTTGGCTCTGGCCAGCAGCGGGGCCCTCATCTAACATGGGGCAGCTTCTAGAGCCTTCTCACAGAAGCCACCCCTACGGCCCCCTGCTACCCAAACCTTGCCACAGAAACCCACTAGAGATGCGAGGCTGGGACACGAAGTAGCAACAATGTCACGTCCAGGCCCAGTCCTGCCCAGCCTCTTCAGGAATGATGCGCAGGGCGGAGCAGGCCGTGCCCTCAGCAAGTCTGCTGCTGATCCAAGCTGGGAGGAGATAGGGATGCACCAGAGGGTGGTGCTGCCCTCCAGAGGGCCCTGGGCAGGCCGGAGAAATGGCCTGGCAGGATCCTCCTGGAGTTGGCGCCAGGGAAGCTTGAAGCTGAGGCCCTGGGGAGGAAAGCTGGAGAGCCCGAGGCTTGTTGGAGTTGCCCCAGCTGGAGGCCTGGGTCCAGTTCTGGGCTCCCCAGGACAGGAGAGCCATGGGCCTACTGGAGGGAGCGCAGTGAATGGCAGCCAAGCTGGTGGCAGGACTGGAGCATCTGTCCTCTGGGGAGAGCTGGAGAGAGCCGTGAGTGCTCGTTGTGGAGAAGGCCTGTGGGGATCTGGCTGAAGGACCTCAATATGTGAAGAGAAGGTGCAAAGGAGATGGAGCCAGGCTCTTCTCAGTGGTGCCCAGTGTCCACGTGGCTGCAGGTGGCCCTGCTTGAGCATGGGGGTTGGAGCAGGTGACCTGCAGAGGTGCCTTCCAAGCCCGAGCCCACTGTGTGTCCGGTGGTTTTGCAGGGACCTGAACCAAAGCGCGGCCATTCAGCCAGGCCCGAGCAGCGGGGCAGCTGTGAAGGAGGCTGCCAGGAGGCTGCCGTTCTGGATTTGCAAGGTCTTCTTGCATCAGCTGGGGAAGAAGGGCAAGGACTTTGACTTCTCCCAGCTGCCAGTGAGGGTGGAGTTTGTGGAATGCAGCACCCGTGGCAGCAAGGGAGAGGAGGGAGATGCTGACTTCGAGGGCCTTGAGAAGTGGCTGGCCATGATCGCTTGAACGGAGAAGGGCAGGGCAGGAGGGAGAGATGTGGGGAGGCTGGGTGGGTGGGACACGTGGAGAGTGAAAGGAAAGAGATGGTTTGAGGCGCTTAAATCTCATCTTGTAGAAGATACTTGTGGAAATTTCTTCTAGAAAAAGCTGGAAACAAGCATTGCGGTGTCTTCCTCTGCTGCTTATGGCCTTGGGAGTAATGTAATATCTGGTGTGATTTCTCTGACTGTGTCCATCACGCTGCAACCTTTTTTTGCTCTTCCTTCTTCCTTCATCTTTCTCTGGGATGCTTACCCTACGGGCCTCTGTGTTTCCTTGAAATGTTTGGTCTTTTCATGTGACAGCTGCCAGGCAAATTAGGGACAAGAGCACTGCCAGGTGAGTCTTCTAGGGACTGGAATCTTTGTCCTTTTCTGCTTTGGTTTAGCGTTGCATCCCTGTTACTTCTGCTTACTTACCTGCTGCCCTGGCAAAGTGCACAGACTCTTTCTGTTGTGCAGTTGCTGAGGCGAGTAAAAAAAGCTGTTTTCCTCTATCTCCTACCTCCCCATTCTTCCAGACTGGTGCAGTCCAGTTTCTGTGGGACTGGAGCGACTTAATAAATCCCCAAAGCAGGCTGGCTCATCTACCTCTGTCACTGTGCACTGCCGGTGTCTGGCTGCGGTGCCTTTGTCCTTGGGTGATTTCTTCTGTTGGATGGTTCTTGGGAGTTTTTCTTTTAAATGGGGGCTACGACCTGAAAGCTTGTTTCCCTCTCCTCTGACGGACATGAATGCACGCTTTCCATATGACAGTTCCAGAAGGGTCTTAGCTTCAAGCAATGAGGAAGAGGCATTTTTAGATAGATGCCTGTGTTGCTGGTGAGATTTGTCATGCCAGATTGTTTGTTGTGCAATCCCCTGCCTGTCTCCTCCCTAGTGACTGCAATAAAGAGACCTTTTTGTGTTTGTAATCAGCAGTTGCAGCAAAGTGAGAGAGAATATTGGGCAGGTAGGACACTCGTGTGCGAGCGTGCTTCCTCCCTGCAAAAAGATTGTTGGTGCAGAAGGAAATGTGATTTTTTTCCAGTGCTTGTTTGTGGTGGTTGAAGCCAAAGGTGCTGCTGTATGCGTGCTCTCACTCAGAGAGTGCTTGTTGCTCTGGCTCTTGCAGCGGCTCGGCTGGCTATTTGGAGGCTGGAAGTGATGGTGGTGGTATCTTAACTGAGCATGCGTTAGACCTCAGCTTTCCAAAGGACGCTTGCTCTTGCCAGGAGTGTTGGTTATCCAAAGGGAAATGTTGCAGCAGCATTAGTGCTGGCCATGTGGGAGATGAGACCCTGGTGTCATGCTGGCTATTCGGCTTCCCTTTCCTGAACAACAAACAGCCTTAAAACACCAGGCGGTCACCTTGCCCAGCAGCTTTGTGCTTTGTTGGGGTGCTAGCTCAACATGGCTTTTCTGTGAGGATGATTGCTTTCCAGGATGCCGTTCTGGATTTGCAAGGTCTTCTTGCATTGAAGCTTTTCCTCCATTTTTCTTGCTTCCTCTTTCGTTTGAGGAAAGGAGGGACTGAATGGTTCCTGACAGACCTTTTCTGTCCTCTGCAGACGTCTCTGGTTTGATGCTTCCTTAATGGCTCCACTGATGTGTCGTGTTCTTGTCCCTTCCTTCTTTCTGGGCATCCTCTGCCTCCCTGTAGCATTCTCAAGGGTTAGTAGTGGTGGGAAGAGCAAGAAGAGCCTTTTCTGCAAAGACCTGTGCTTGCGATGGGGCTGGGCCTGGCACTTGTAGTCTTGTGAACCTGGTGTGTCTTCGTGGGCACCTGGCCCTTTCCTCTGCAGCTGGGAGTGCTTGGGGGTGGTCCTGAGCAAGGAAGGGGCTGTGGCCTCCTGTGTAGGGGAAGCTCCAGGCTGGCTGGTGACTGCAAGGGAGAGCTGAGGCAAGGCTGGCCTCCAGAGCAAGCCAGGAGGTGTTGTGTCAGTATGGGAGGCGGGGAGGCTTATATTGATGAAGTACCTTCTATCTATCCTTCTATTTGCAGCCAGACCATTGCTGCAACTTGTTTGGCTTGAACTCTCTTTGCTGGAGCCCCTTCACAGGACACCGTATTTCAATCCATAATGCTGAAAGGAGAATATTGCTGTCTTTGGGTGGTAACTCTGCTTAGAGCCTTCTTCCAAAGCGGAGGCTGAGCATCGGCTTCTGGTAGGATGTCCTGGTTTCAGTTAGCACAGAATTAATTTTCTTCCTAGTAGCTGGTGGAATGCTGT